CAGGCTAAATAATTCATATTGATAGTAAAAATCACATCAGTGACTGCCTGGTTCAATGAGAGGAGAAATGGTTATTATTACAAATGGGCATGAGGAACTTTTGCATTATGTCCACTAGGATGTTGGTGACCGGTGTGTGTGTGTGTGTTTGTCAAGTATCAACAAGTTGTACATTAAATTTGGCGTATGCAGCATGTAAATTATACCTCAACTTAAAAGGGGGTAGAGAATAATTGAAAGTGAAGTGATACTGGGCTAGTGAGCACATTAGAGGCTTGAGAGGAAACAGGAGGCACTCTGTGAAGGTAGTGGCAAGAAGAGAACTGTGACCTGGTGTTCCCCAATGACAGAGAGGAGCAGTGGGTGACCTTTTTTATTTACCAGAGGGAGCACTGCTGCTGGAATATTTCCTCTGAATCTTTCTTAACCATTATTAGTGCCAGTGGTTAATTGTCTATAGGTTGTACAGGGTCTCAAATGTTGGCAGAATTAACAAACTCTCTCCAATCTCTCTGGAATTGGAGCCTTGGGATTTCTTCCTTCATCACCTCACTATGCTTCTCTTTCTCCCTCCATAGTCACTGGAAGAGAGGTTGTTAGTGGAAAGGTTCATAGCAGCGAGTTCTCTCTGACCCCTGTGGAGAGAGCTCACATGTGGTGGTGGGGTGTGGCTAGTGTAGGCTCAAATCTCAGTTCTGGTGCTAACTAGTTACACTTCCCAAAACAAGTTACCCATTTCCTGTATGCTTTCATTCAATTAGCTGAAAAAATATATGTAAAATAGTATCTTTTTCTTGAAAGTTGTTGTGAAAGTCAATACATGTAAAATGCTTTGAAAATATGCCTGAGATGCAAACTACCACTGCTGTTACTTGACATCTAAGCTCTAACCAACTTCAAGGGCATTCTACTCCCTTCAGAGTTTTAGCTCAAATTGTGAGGGTCACTGGAGATTCCAACCAGCTCCTCATCTTGTAGGATTCTGGCAGAATGGCGGTAAGGGGATTCTGACGTTACTGCAGGTAAGTTACGAGTGTATTCTCTCCTACTGCCCATCAATTCCATATCCTCAACAGCAGAGCCACTTAGAAACACTAGATCTGAAACCAAACAGAATCTAAAATCCTGTCACAAGTGCATCCCTGGGCAAGTTACTTTTCCTCTCTTCTGCAAAGGGGAGATAATATTAACTATCTTTCAGAGTTATTGTGAGAACAATAATTTCTTCATGTCAAAATTTTCTTCAGAAAATTGTCTAGCACAGTGCTTGGTATATAGAATGTGCTCGGATGGTAGCTACTAAATCAATAATATTATTATCTTTAGAGGATTGTAAAGCAGAATCTGTATTTCTTTCCTTATAGCATCAATTGCATGACTGGGTTTTCTATGACTGATCAGTAAAGAAATAAGCACATCCTGAATATGAACTTAATGGAAGGGGTGAGAGGAGTGGTGCTTGTCTTTTGCTGGTATTAGAGATAAGAAGAATCAGGAGAGGACATTCTTACCTTGTTCCTAATCTTAGGCAGAAAGTATCCAGTCTCTCCTCATTAAATATGATGTTATCCTTTAAAAAAAAATCAGGAGAAAGAATAAAGATAGGGCATGTCCTAAAAGACAGTAGGAGAACACAAAAAGAGAGTCAAAAGGAAAACATGAACTGAAGAGCTCCAGAAATAACATGCAGAGAGAGACAGTAAGTTTCCAAATGAATGAGAAAGTCATCTAGTGGTAAAAGATTGAAACACAGCAGGCAGGTTTATGATAATATAAAGCTTTAAAAACTGGATAAATTGTGTATACTGCACTGAAACAGATGAGGGACTGACTAATTTAGAAGCGATGTATGATATGGTTATCACAAGAGTCCACAATTAAGGTTGCATAGTGGAATGTACTTAGGGCGGTGGAAGGGGTGCGGGGGGATTGTGTACCAGGGAGGGAGTCTTTCTTTTACTTTTGAAAAAGAGGAGCGAACTGGGGGGCAGGGGGTGAGGGCTGGGCAGGTAGAGAAGAAGTGCAGCAATGAATGAATGGAAATCCAAATTCTCTGTAAATGTTCATTAAAATTATTAAAATAAAACTAAATTAAAAAAAGGAAATTATTTAAAATAATCAGAATAGCAGTTCAGAGAAAAAGAAATGGTCTGTGGGCACTAAAGAGAAGGCTGCTAAGATATTGTTAACATTTGGATCCTCCTTTCCTTTCCTTTTGTTGTTTTGTGCCATTGAGTTGGAACCAATCCATAGCTGACTTTACAGTGGGTTTTCAGAGGCACTTAATCACACAGATGGAGATTGCCCATCCTTCTCCCCCAGAGCAGCTGGTAGATTCAAACCCCAAACTATCATTAAAGCAGTGGCTAATTAGTTGTCTGTGAGTTGTAGGACACTAAATTTTGGCAAGTTGAGAAAGGTAGATTATATGCATATGGAAATGGAGTCCTATGTTCCTTTTGTAAACTTTATAGATATGTTTTCTATTATATTTTTGTTTAAATAAATAAAAATGTATTTCATCAAGGAGAAAAGTAATATAGATGGAAAGAAGGGGTCACACACACACAAAGAGAGTGCTGATAAGATGAGATACCGCTTTCAAGCTGGTGCTAAGAAGTGATCACAACATCCAATAAAACCTGCAGAACCATCTCTGCCAGGAAGAATACCCATCTGCCTCCACTCATTCCCTAAAAGTCTTTCACAAATTTGTGCCCAAAAGAAGCAGAGATCTTTCCTCTAAATTCCCAGGGTGGTTGCCATCTCCCAGCCCATCTGTGGGTCAACCTGTGCCTACAGGTCACCTCCACCAGAAAGTTCTTGATTCACACATCTAGACTATTTCTTTACAGCAAAGCCTCCTCTTATCTACCATATCGATGACTTTGGCATGATTTGCCTTTACTTCCTGGGGATTGTGACAATTTTCTGTGTGTTCTCCAGTGTTTTTCATGTACATAGGCCATATGGAGGGAGCTCCAGCTTCTCAGCTTACCCTCTCATGGCCTGAACTCATTAGCCTATACTTCAATTAAGGTTTATTGTTTCAGTCACTAAAGAAAAGCTAGTAATGAGACTAGGATAGATATAAATTATCTGGATGGGGTTGTCTATGAAAACTTGCTTTAAAGGACATTATTGGAATTCATAATAATGATAATATAAAAAATAGCATTGATAAAGTACCTGTTTTATAATACAGTATGTTTCGTATACTAGAGAGTATAGTAGACAGTCAGAGAAAAAGAGAAAGACCCTCACAGGGGCTGCAAAAATGCACTCAGAAACAGCAACGAGGTTGAGCATGCTGGACGACCAGGCAGGGTTTTATTCTGCTGTACATAATAGGATTGATATCAATCAGAACCGACTCGACATAAGCTAACAACATGCTTATTTGAACAAAATTTCTTCTTTCTTAGAAATTTGAAATATGACCTTTTTTTCACATGAAAGCTGAAATAGAAAAGAGCGGAGACATGCTATCCACTCTCATATAGCTCAGAATAAACACGGCTGGAGAGATAAGCAAAGAGATGAAATGATTTTAAAATGTGATAAGATGACAGTTGGTGAATCTAGATACAGGATTTCTTTAGAGTATTCTTAGAAATTTCCAATAAGGTTAAAATTTAAAAAAATTAAGACCCATAAATTGTGACTAGAAATAAGGAAATATATGCAATTTCCATTTAAGTGCCTCAGTTTTTAACTCAGTGCTTTGTTATTAACATCTAAAAGGGAAAATACTTTAAAATCATCTTTAAGCCCCATTATACAAAAGTTACAGAAGACAAAAAAATTCTGTGAATTGCAAGATTGAAGTGGAGTCTTTCTTTTCTGCACTGCACATAACATTAAGTTGATGTTAGGGCCTTGCTTTTGAAAGTCTTTTAGCTTAGTTAAATAAATCATAATCATCTTGTTTGGAAATGACAAGATTACCTAAACTACATACAGATAGGCACACGGAGGAGAAGGAACATAGGTCTGTGATCATTTACCCTGAAAAGATGAAATATATAAAATATGAATAATTCTAAAATAACTATATTCTTTCCCAATAGAAAATACTCTTAAAGAGGTATTATTTATAATGAGGACACTTTATTAAAAGCACGTCTTTGTTCATTCTTCTTTGACAAACCTAAGGTAACATTCCAAACTCCCACTGTACTCAATATAGTGTAAATGCTTAATAATTAACTAGAGGGGGGTCTTCTGGGGGGTTAGTGATAAGGAGTTGTGCTGTCAACCGAAAGGTACATGGTTCAAATATATAAGATACTCCCAGGGAGAAAGATGGGTGATCTCCTCCTGTGCGATTTAGTGCCTCTGAAAACCCTCATTGTAGATAGTGTCCTTCACCAGAGGATTGAATAAGAGCTGGGACCCCACATAAAAAATCCTTTGTCTATCAGTTGGGATCAGTTGTAAGTTGGGAGGGTACAATGTTGTACAATGGTACAATAATAATTGACTAGGAAGCTGTAGTTGTAGATAGTCCATAGCAAGTCACACTGCTAATCTAAAGGTTCAAATCCACAGCAGAAAGATAACCTTTCCCCTTCCATTACAATTTACAGTCTTGGAGACCCAATGGATGATGGTCCATAAGAGTCAGAACTGACTCAATGGTAATGAGTTTGAGTTTTGAGTTTGAATAACTGACTGTTGGAATGAATGAAAATCAACGAATGCCATATTTTATACCAGCCTTCTTTGTCATCAAAGAATAAGAGGTACCAGTACAAAGTTTCATTTGTTTTCTACTACATTTGTGGCTTTTTTGTTTCTTCTGGACAACATTTGATCAGGACAAACAGGGGGAAAATAAAAGCTACTGGGTAGTGGTGAGCCTGGGAAATGGAGGCTGAGTGTGACAAGAAAAGGGAGGTAAGCCTGAGGACCTGACAAGGATTCAGGTGGTTCTTATGAACTAAGAACACATTCACCTGACAGTTTTCCTCTTTCTCTAGGATCCAAAGGAAGAGGCCATGATCAACCAGAGCTCCCCAACAGGCTTTGTCCTCCTGGGCTTTTCTGAACATCCAAGACTTGAGAAGATCCTCTTCATGGTTGTCTTGACTTCCTATCTCCTGACCCTGGTGGGAAACATGCTCATCATCTTGCTGTCTGTCCTGGACCCCAGACTCCACTCTCCAATGTACTTTTTCCTCTCCAACCTCTCCTTCCTGGATCTCTGCTTCACCACAAGCTTTGTCCCCCAGATGCTGTTCAACCTCTGGGGCCCAAAGACCATCAGCTTCCTTGGCTGCTCTGTCCAGCTCTTCGTCTGCATGGCCCTGGGGTCCACTGAGTGCATCCTCCTGACAGTGATGGCCTTTGACCGCTATGTGGCTGTCTGCCAGCCCCTCCACTATGCCACCATCATCCACCCTCGCTTGTGTAAGCAGCTGACAGCGGTGGCCTGGGTGATAGGTCTGGTTCAATCAACCATCCAGACTCCACCTACCCTCCGCCTGCCCTTCTGCTCCCACCGGCAGATAGATGATTTCTTATGTGAAGTCCCAGCTCTAATTCAACTCTCTTGTGGAGACACCACGTACAATGAGATTCAGATGGCTGTTGCCAGTGTCTTCATTGTGGTTGTGCCCCTCTCTCTCATTCTTATCTCTTATGGTGCCATTGCCCGGGCAGTGATGAAGATTAACTCCGCAAATGGAAGGAGAAAAGCTTTTGGGACCTGCTCATCCCATCTCATGGTTGTCCTTATTTTCTACAGCTCAGTCACTGCTGTCTATCTCCAGCCTAAAAACCCCTATGCCCATGAGAGGGGCAAGTTCTTTGGTCTCTTCTATGCGGTGGGCACTCCTTCCCTCAACCCTCTCATCTACACACTGAGGAACAAGGAGGTAAAGAGGGCATTCAAGAGGCTGCTGGGGAAGGATGGTGACTCCAGGGAAAACTGAGGGATAGCAGCTTAATGTAAATTTAGAAGTCTTTTTACACCTTTTTTTTAAGTAAATTTGGGCTCACCAGCACACCACCCTCTCCACATACATAAGCCACTGCAGCAGATCACAGTATGAGTGATTATGTGGTTTATAGAAGAATCAGAGAGAGACAGGAACTGTATTAAAGGAGGTAGACTCTTGATAAGACAATTTTATTTCAAGCAATATCATCCTTGTTAATTTTTAATATTTCCTCTCCTCTCCATTCTATTTTTATTGTCTTTTCTTTTATTATAGTTTCACTAATGTTAGCATAGAGAGCTCTGGTGGCCGAGCACTAGCGACCTAAAGGTACACATGGTTCCAATCTACCAGCTATTCCATTGGACAAAAAAGGGCAATTCCCTTGAGTGCAACTAACTGTCTTTGAAAACCCACTAGAAGGTCAGCTGTGGGTCAGTTCCAATTTGACAGTATACAACAACAATGCTTGCATGCCCACTTCAGAATGTACAATTTTTCTTCAATTATATTAAGTTATTAAAAAATCGTGGAACAGCTCCACTCTTACACCCTGGTTGTTGTTGTTGTTGTTATGTGCCATCGAGTCGTTTCCGACTCATAGCGACCCTATGCACAACAGCTCTAAACCCTGCTCTATCCTGCGCCAACCGCACCGCCTCTGACACACCCATCCCGATTACCCCAGTCACCGAATCAATCCATCTCATAGAGGGTCTTCCCCTCCTGCGCTGTCCCTCCACCCTCCCAAGCATAATGTCCCTCTCCAAGGACCCGTCCCTCCTGGCAACATGTCCAAAGTATGTCAGACGAAGCCCCAGAATCCTTGCCTCCAAGGAGCAGCTTGGTTTAATCCTCTCCAAAATGGATCCGTTTGTTTTTCTGGCAGTCCATGGTACATTCAGTACCCTTCTCCAGCACCACAGCTCAAAAGCATCCACTCTCCTTCTGTCCTCCCTAGTCATTGTCCAACTCTCTGATGCATAACAAGCGATTGCAAATACCATGACCTGTATCAGGCGTACCTTAGTCTCCAGAGAGACACTGTTGCTCCTGAGTACCTTTGAGAGGTCCCTAACGGCAGACTTTCCCATCGTGATACGCTTTTTGATTTCCTGACTGCTGGTACCAAGAGTGTTGACTGTGGAGCCGAGCAAACTGAAGCTGTGAACAATCTCAATCTCTTCGTCATCCATCCTGACGCTGCCAATTGGTCCAGTGGCGAGAATCTTTGTCTTCTTGACATTGAGCCTTAGTCCATATGGAAGGCTGCAGTCCTTGACCCTCTGCAGCAAGTGCATGAGGTCCTCCTCAGTTTTAGCAAGCAAGGTTGTGTCATCTGCATAACGGAGATTGTTAATAGATCTTCCACCAATCCTGATGCCACAATTCTCCTCATAGAGCCCAGCCTCTCTGATAATCTGCTCTGCATACATGTTGAAAAGGTATGGAGACAGGATGCATCCCTGGCGTACACCCTTCCCAATTTTGAACCATGCAGTGTTACCCTGCTCTGTTCTGACTACTGCCTCTTGGTCCAAGTATAGGTTTCGCATTAGCACAATTAAATGTTCTGGGATTCCCATTCTTCTCAGAGTCAGCCACAGTTTGTTATGATCCACACAGTCAAATGCCTTTGCATAATCAATGAAACACAGATAGACATTCTTCTGGTATTCCCTGCTTTCAGCCAAGATCCATCTAACATCAGCAACGATATCCCTAGTACCACGACCCCTTCTAAACCCAGCCTGGACTTCTGGCAGTTCTCTGCTGATGTGCTGTTCTAATCGTTTTTGGATGATCTTCAGCAGAATCTTGCTTGCATGTGAAATCAATGACACTGCCCTGGAGGCTCTTCAAATATCCACATTGGTCACACAAGCAAGCTTAAACTTGGATAGTCTGTGACTTGGCAAGATGCTATGTGACATCAAGGAACTAGGCATAGCTTTGTGAATAGCTCTTCTCTTTCTATTCTTTGAGAGGCTATCATGAGCCAATTTCTTATTACCTCTTAGATCTGATGAGTAATGAAGTTTTCTGTCCCGCACTCTTCATGAATTAGCTGTAGAACATAATGCGACTTAAGAAGTCTATAATTGACTGATTAGCAATGAGATATTTAGCAGTTCAGGTTGCAATCATATGGCCCCTTTTGTTTCAATGCCAACTTTTTTAGTGTGGAGGGCAAGGACTACAGGATTTGTTATAAATGTTGTTAGCTGTTGTTGAATTTGCCCCTGACTCATGTAACTCCATGTACAACAGGATTGACCAGTGTAATCTATAGAGTTTTCACTGAATAATTTTTTCAGGAAAAGAATCACTTTCTTTGAGTTGTGGTGCTAGAGAAGAGTCTTGAACATGTCATGGATTGCCAAGAAAACAAATAATCCTGCCTTGGAGAAGGTTAAACCAAGTCTCTCCTTGGAGGCTAGGATTTTGAAGCGTTGTCTCACATACTTTGGGCATGTGGCCAAGAAGGACCAATCCTTGGAGAAGGACATCATGCTCAGAAGGTTGGGAGGACAGTACAGGAGAGAAAGGTCCTGGAGGATGAGATGGATTGATACAGTAACTGGGGCAATGGAGGTAGGTGTGTCGGAGTCAGAGAGACTGGCTCAGGACAGGATAGGCTTCAGAGCTGTTGTACACAGGGGTCACCATGAGTCGCAGGTGACTTGACAGCACATAAGAAAAACAATAATTTTCTTGGAAGTCAAGAATCAGGACTTTATTGCAAGTAATAAAATAATAAATTGTCTGAACTACAGTAGCTCATTGCATCTTTACCAGCAATCAGTCAGGCTTTAGCTTTGCCTTCTTTATTCCATGTGTTCTTGACCATCCTCATCATCTTACTTTATTTCTGGATTCTACCAAGACTTTTTTCCTTCTTCCTCAAAGTTCTTTCTTTCAACTTTCTCCTCTTATATTAATCGTTTTCACATGTCTTTCTTGTCTTCTTCTTTAAATAATAGCTAGAAGATAAAAGTAAAACTCAGTATGTTTATAATGTCATCCAGACACACACAATGGTGTATTCCACAAGAAGGAGCAACAGAAAGTTAATGTATCTCTATTGTTATCCCAAAGCATCTAATTAAAAGAACAAAAACTACACCCACTTCTCACTTACTGCCTTGGTTAGTCATTAAGACCAAAGGTTATGTCATTATGAAAAAAATGGCTTTTTTTAAAAAAAAATAGGAAATGACCAAGGCATATCACAAAATGAAGAATAACTATATCATTAAACAGCTACCATATTATACCATTAAATAGTTGTCAAATTACTTCAATAAATAACTGCCAAATTACATTACTACATACCTACCAAACCACTGAGATTCATGACCCAGCCAAGTTGACATCTAATGTTAACCATCACAGCCAGCATCACTCTCACCTCACACCTTAGTGTTTTTTACTTCCAGACTACATCATTAATGTAATAAATAATCAGATGGTACATTTTTTTGGCCATTATTGTAAATGAAAACTATTGGATAACAAGATAGTGGGGAGGTCATGAGTAAGAGTAGAGTAACAGCAGCAAAAATGAGAGAGTAAGGATCTCTAGAATTTCTCTCTGCCCCCAAAACAATAAGAACTCTGGAAGCATGATTCAACCTTCCAGGTACGTTCAATGAAGCTTCAGCCGTGGCCACATGAGAAATTCAATAAATGCTCTAAATATGGAAAATCTGAGAGCTTCCTGCTTGGCACCTTCCTGGATTTCACTCACACATTCCTTCCTTATGATGATCCTGATTTGTATTCTTCTGCCATATAAACTTGTAATTGTTATATGTAGTGCTTTCTGAGACTTTTGAGTTGTTCCAGTGAATGACCAAACTCAAAGATAAATGAGATCCTGTAGGTGAAAATGAAGCATCCCAAAATAGGTCCTATTGCTTGTGGCTGACATCCTGAAGTGAAAATTATAAAATATTCTGTTTTCAGCAAGCAGGTCAGAAGAAAGGATATCATGTGGACAGCTGTAGTTCAGCTGGCATCTGCTTATGTTAGTCTTAACCACAGTCCTTTCAACTCAGAGCTCTAGCTTAGTTCAGGTTGCTAGGGGCAGAGAAAAAGAATGTCAGAGATGAGTGAAAAGTGATAACGTTGAGAACAAAGTTATTAACTGTCTTATTTTGGAGATGAGATTTCTGTTGATTTTGATTCTAAATATATCAATTAAAACACACTTGTAAGAATGAAACAAGATCACTCAAACTAATTGCTGTCAGTTTGGCTCCAAATAATGGCAACTTGATGCATGTTAGAGTAGAACTGTTTCAAACAATTTTCAAAGGCTTATTTTTCAGAAGTAGGTCACCATTCTTGCAAATTACCCTAGATGGAACCTCCAACATTTTTACTTGTAGTCAACCATAACAACCACTAGTAGTTGTTGTTATTGTTGTTGTTGTTGTTATGTGCCATCAAGTCACCTGTGACTTATAACAACCCTATGTACCACCAGGGACTCCATAAAAAATAACATAACCCAACTTACAACAAAAATAAATAGATGCTTACCATACGGTTTAGAAAGTCCTCTTTAGGTAAATTATGCAAGATAAATGAAATCTATTCACAAAAAGAAGTGTATGCAAATTTTTGTGATAGCTTTTTATCATAGCAGTCAAAAACTACAAACAATTAAAATGTCTATTAGCAGGCGAATGAATAAAATATTGTGGTGTTTTCATACAACTGGATAATGCTAGTAATGAAAAGGAACAAGCTACCAATATATGAACTACACTCACTGAATCTCAATAACATGCTGACATGGATTGAATTGTATCCCTCCAAAATGGATGTACGTAGAATTCTGTTTTATTTTCAAAATGCATATATGGTACTATACAATGTGGAAGCTACATTATGATTCCCATGTTCAAGTAAATCAAGTAATTGCAAAAAGATTAATGATGGGATGAAATACAATCTTGATCAGATATAAGGAGAGTTTCCCTAGG